ATTGGTTTGTACTTGTCTATGAAGTAGTTTTCTTTTAAAATTCGTTTTACTTTGTCCGAATTTTGAACTTGATAAAAGGAAATATTGTAAATTTAACATCGTTTCCTTTCGCACAGACATCTAGATGTTCACTCAGTGGGATACATCGGGTTTCAGGACACTTTATTTGTTGTTTGTGGACATGAACCCGGGCTCTTAAATTTTCTGATTGACCAATATACTGTTTATTACAGCCTGTGCATGTTATGACATATATTATGTTTTTGCAAGAGCAGTCAAATTCTGTTTTACATAGAATTCTCCGTGTCTCGTGAAAGTTACAGAGCGTCCTTCAAGAACATAAAAAACAAATATGTGCATCTTAGAACAAGATGAAAAACTGAAATCAATGCTGAAATCTAGAAAAATAATAAATAGCAAAGACAAAATCAGAATCTTAAAAGATACTAACAAAAGCCAAATTTATTTTAAAGAAACAGAATTTACCAAATCCTACTGTGTCTAGATGCAACAGAGGTAACTGTGGAACGTGTCGACATATTGTTGAAGGACGCTCTGTAACATTCACGAGACACGGAGAATTCTATGTAAAACAGAATTTTGACTGCTCTTGCAAAAACATAATATATGTCATAACATGCACAGGCTGTAATGAACAGTATATTGGTCAATCAGAAAATTTAAGAGCCCGGGTTCGTGTCCACAAACAACAAATAAAGTGTCCTGAAACCCGATGTATCCCACTGAGTGAACATCTAGATGTCTGTGCGAAAGGAAACGATGTTAAATTTAAAATATTTCCTTTTTATCAAGTTCAAAATTCGGACAAAGTAAAACGAATTTTAAAAGAACACTACTTCATAGACAAGTACAAACCAATGTTAAACCATTGCAAGCTGTGACCTTGTCGCTCTAGAATGTTGTCCCTATTATGACGTCACAATATATATGTAATGACGTCATACTGTAACCGCTACAATCTCCCTGAAGAGTAAAGAACGAAACATGTTGGAAGAAACGGCATTCTGTTTTATTTATCTATGCAAATATATATATATATATATATATATATATATATATATATATGGCACCAAATCAATAATTCGTTATTACCTAATAGTATATCAAGTTGCTCCATTTAATGTGGCAATGCTAAATTACAAGTTATATTGTATTCATGCTATAAATTCCGAGAGCATAGTCATAATCGTATTATTTGCATCAAGTCAATTTCAGTCACACCATACAACGAGGAGAAACGTTTATCTTCCCACGTCTGGACATCATGTAAAAGTGAGGACTCGTATATCCCGTGAAGATTTATTCATTTCTAGTACACAATGCACAGGACTCTTCAAAGTGGAGGAAACATCCACGAAACCAATTTAGCTTTGTACCTAACGTCACATCACCAATGGCGTTCCCATCAAAGTTGTCAAAGAGGCAAAATTCTTCGGTCTAGTTTTCGACTCCCAATTAACTTTTCTTCCGCATATCAAATCCCGCAAAACTAAATGCCTGAAGGCACTCGATTTATTGAAAATCGTTATTAATTCAAAATGGGGAAGGGATCAAACTACCCTCGCACACCTATACAAATCACTATGCATTGGCCTCAAGAATTGAAAAAAACACTTTTAAACCACAGTTCTAACGGTACTTGAAATGCCACGATTGTCAAATGTGCAACGTGAACGTGCCGTTGGCATGTTGCAAGCGGGAAGATCAGTTATTGACGTCGCAAGAGCAATGGGATGCAGCCGTCGTACTGTGTATCACTTGCGAGGTCGTCTACAACAAACTGGCACCACTTCTGATCGCCCAAGGTTGGGTCGTCCACATGTGACGTCACGAGCAGAAGACCATCAAATCGTCCTACGTCACCTACGTGACAGATTTCTGCCGGCTACACGAACCAGGACTGAGATGTTTAGAGGTCGACTGTCCTCACAGACCATTCGAAATCGGTTGCGGGCTGCAAATCTCCATTCTCGACGTCCATATCGTGGGCCAATATTGACGCCGTTTCATCAACGTCAACGTCTGCTGTGGGCCAAACGTCACCTCCGATGGACCCAGGGAGACTGGATCGAGTCGTCTTTAGCGATGAATCCAGGTTTACCCTCAGATTCGCGGACGGCTGGCATAGAGTCTGGAGACGACGTCGTGAACGGTATGCCCAATGTTGTGTACAGGAAGTCGACAGATTCGGGGGCGGAAGTTGCATGGTGTGGGTTGCTTTCTGTGGGAACAACCGTTCCTAACTTCTGGTCATCCGTGGAAACCTCACAGTTGCTGCTTACCGCGACCAGGTGCTCACCCCTGAACTCGTTCCTTTCATGGCGGCTCATGGCCCAGGTCTACAGTTCCAGCATGATAATGCTCGGCCACATACCACGATGTTGACACGAAATTTCCTTCAAAACGCTGGAATCAACGTCATGGACTGGCCATCGAGGTCCCCTGACCTAATCCAATAGAGCACGTTTGGGATGCACTTGGGAGAAGGCTTCGTGACGGTACAACCTATAGACATGTCAGTACAGGATTTTAAGCCGGGCTGGTCATTTAAAGAAAAGCTGGAACTTTTGCACAGGCTTTATCCTAATACTCTACCACCACCGTCGGACGAACAGGAGATAGATATTCCCGCGGAACTCAGATGATCAGGTTGCCTTCCCTCGGTACGGATACCGAGGCTGTCATTACCACATTCATCATCACTTAAGAAGGTGTTGGAGAATTACAACTTAGGCCTCTCTAAGGCTACGAACTTGAATTCTTTGCGTAGGGTTTCTCATAAACCCATTTATTCCATTCATGATCGTGTTATCCCAGCCAATCAACCAAGTTTAGACAAGGACTTTAAACAGTTACAGGATGCTAGAGGCTCTCGTGAAAATGTACCGTTCTGTACCTTCAAGAATTGTAAGGAATTGGATAAGCAGCCCGTTGAGCGATAGGACAACTTACAGCTATTGAGCGGATACAGCGGCTAAATTCAGTGAGGAATTTACCGGATGTTCAAGGGATTTTCTATTGCACCACAGAATTTGCAGGAACTTGGCGCTGCCTTGCAAGAGCAATGGCGCAGAATCCCCAACCACGTGTTCACAAGCATCAGGCAGTCGATGAGGAGACGGTGTTTGGCAGTGGTGAATGCGCGGGGCGTCCATACACAATATTGAACTGAGAAATTTCGCATTTTTATTCTTGTGACTTGACATTCTGTATACCTATGTTTTGAAACTGATTATGGCACTGTCAGTGTATCGAGTACATCACACAGATCTCAGCAATGAAATAATAACAATTTAACCATCTTACCATCTCGTTCTTTTATAGTGCCCTGACGAAAGAATGTGAAGTTTCTTTTTTGACTCAGTATACTATGGTTAAAAGTTGGCAATGGCCGATCTTGCTGCCAAGGCAGCACTCTACAAATCCGTTACACCACTTCTTATTCAATACTCTGATTACAAAGCTGTTATTAGATCCTATATCCGTGATCAAATGCAGCAGAAGTGGGACACCCAAGTAGGTATAAATAAATTACATGCAATAAAACCCTATATCGGTTACACGTATTTGGGTTGTCAGTCCATATTTGAGGAGGTCATTATGCGACGATGTCTGTCGTATTGGCCATACTAGATACACTCCTGATTATTTGCTTAAAGGTGAGAATCCTCCGTTTTGTGTCCCTTGTGATGAGAGAATCACGGTCAAGCATGTCTTGCTTGACTGTATTGATTTTTCCATCATAAGGGATCAATATTTTAGTGTGAAAATAATATAAGGACCTTTACAATAATGTTAATTATCATTTAATTATAGGTTTTTAAAAATGAATTGAACTGATTGTAAAATTTTGATTAATTTGTTTTGTAAATAAATAAATGACATTTCATACTCATAGATTCAATAAGCAACCAAGATTGTTAGTGGTTGTACCCTCAAAGGGGGTGAAGTATTGTAAAATTATCGTCCTCTTTAGAGGGTACGTAAGTCCCAAATCTTTCGAAGTAAATTTCAATCTGCCAAACTTTTAACCATAGTATACTGAGTCAAAAAAGAAACTTCACATTCTTTCTTCAGGGCACTATAAATGAACAAGAGATGGTAAGATGGTTAAATTGTTATTATTTCATTGCTTAGATCTGTGTGATGTACTCGAAACACCGACAGTGCCATTATCAGTTCCATTATGCTACACCGCCATTCCAAAACATGGGTATACAGAATGTCAAGTCACAAGAATGAAAATGCGAAATTTCTCAGATCAATATCGTGTATGGCCGCCCCGCGCATTCACCACTGCCAAACACCGTCTCCTCATCGACTGCCTGATGCTTGTGAACACGTGGTTGGGGATTCTGCGCCATTGCTCTTGCAAGGCAGCGCCAAGTTCCTGCAAATTCTGAGGTTGGTTCCTAAGACCACGAAGCCTTCTCCCAAGTGCATCCCAAACGTGCACTATTGGATTAAGGTCAGGGGACCTCGATGGCCAGTCCATGTCGTTGATTCCAGCGTTTTGAAGGAAATTTCGTGTCAACATCGCGGTATGCGGCCGAGCATTATCATGCTGGAAATGTAGACCTGGGCCATGAGCCGCCATGAAAGGAACGAGTTCAGGGGTGAGCACCTGGTCGCGGTAAGCAGCAGCTGGTTTCCACGGATGACCAGAAGTTAGGAACGGTTGTTCCCACAGAAAGCAACCCACACCATGCAACTTCCGCCCCCGAATCTGTCGACTTCCTGTACACAACATTGGTTAAACGACGTCGTCTCCAGACTCTATGCCAGCCGTCCGCGAATCCGAGGGTAAACCTGGATTCATCGCTAAAGACGACTCGATTCCAGTCTCTCTGGGTCCATCGGAGGTGACGTTTGGCCCACAGCAGACGTTGACGTTGATGAAACGGCGTCAATAGTGGTCCACAATATGGACATCGAGAATGGAGATTTGCAGCCCACAGGCGATTTCGAATGGTCTGTGAGGACAGTCGACCTCTAAACATCTCAGCCCTGGTTCGTGTAGCCGGCAGAAATCTGTCACGTAGGTGACGTAGGACGATTTGATGGTCTTCTGCTCGTGACGTCACATGTGGACCTTGGGCGATCAGAAGTGGTGCCAGTTTGTTGTAGACGACCTCGCAAGTCATACACAGTACAACGACTGCATCCCATTGCTCTTGCGACGTCAATAACTGATCTTCCCGCCTGCAACATGCCAACGGCACGTTCACGTTGCACATTTGACAATCGTGGCATTTCAAGTACCATTAGAACTGTGATTTCAAAGTGTTTTTTTCAATTCTTGAGGCCAATGCAAATACGTGCATATGAAGAAACTTTCGATGTGAAGATCACGTGATCGACTGCACGTGCAAAACCTGATTTGGCACTAACGTCATTTGTACGACGAATGGAAGGGTTTGAGTGGGTATATATTTGTTGTTTTATGCAATGGCTGAGTCTAAGTACAATCGTCAGTGGCAGAAGGGATGGTATAGATCCAGCTAGGACCCATGCAAATAGCAAAGTACTGTAAGTTCCCACGTTCCCTAGCATGGGGATCTACATTCAGTTGCTAACGATCTATAGCCTAATTTTAAGATGTGTTGTTGTTTATTATCCATTCTCGTCAAATTCTCGTCACGATATGGCTGAGATATTGCCGATGTGACGCTAAATTTAACTCGCTCACTATGACCTTCTTCCTTCAACTTATATACTTCTCACGCCAATAGCCTTCTTCAAAGATACAAATGATCACTGACAAACATCATTCCATTTCCATTTCACTCCAGTTCTAATGAAAAAACTTCAAAGTTCACAAAGATCTGCAAAACCAGGAATAAACTTCATCAAGTAATTACACACTCCTAAAAATGAACATAACTCTGTCACATTTCCTTAAGGGTTAGCTTGTTCAACGGCTGATACCTTCATAGGATAAGGTCTAACAAATTCAGAAGAAACTACATGTCCCAGAACCTCTATTTCTGTCCTTGTCCTTGTTGAGCTTTAAATTGTACTCTCTACATCATTTGAAAACTTTTCTGAGCAAATTTACAAGTTCTTCTAGAGAATCTGCACAGCAAAACAGTCATCAATATATTTCTCCAAACCGGAAATATCATGGAAAACATAGTTCATAGCCTTTTTATATGCTTCAGAAGCTGAATCAAGCCAAAAGGAAGTCTTTCGAATCTAAATATAGTTCTGTGTGTAACAAAACTTGTCAAATCTCTAGAATTCTCTGCCGATAGAATCTGCCAGAATTCCCGTTTACAATCAAGCTTGGCGAAGTAACGTGCTGACTTCATAGCATAGAGAGTATCATCTACTGTAGGAATAGGAAACATCTCATGAACAACAGCCTTGTTGACCTCACGTAAATCACAACAAACTCTAATTATACAAGTACACAATGTATGTTTGAAAACCTAGGTGTAGCATGATGCACTTCTTCAATCATCCTGTTTAACTCAGTTAACTGCTTCCACCATAGAATAGGGTAACCCACGAAGTATGATAGCATTATTAAAAGCTTTAATTTGACCCAAGCCATCAAAAACATCTGAAAATTCATCAAAACGATGATCTAGGTTTGTTGGAGAACTGACCACATTGATGTTGATCTGAAGCAAAGAAAACTGAAGACTAGACTCCCTTCCAAGTATAAACATACCTCATCACCAGACATGACATAAATCCTATCTTCAACTTGATTATCACCAAATTTCAAAAGAACATCAAAATAACCAAAACATTCCATTGGCTGCTTCTTACCATAAGCTTGAAATGTTTACCTGTGGGAGAAAGCAAAACATGTTTGAAATATCCATATGTCACCTTTGAAATAATGTTCTTATATGAACCTGAATCTAAGAACATCTGCAAATCTCTACCATTGACATTCACAGAAGTTAACAAAGCTGAATCAAGATAATAAACAAACTCTGCATCTTCTGAAAAAGAATCTGACTCAGAACATGTCTGATCAATCAACACTGCATTCAACTTCTGCTTATCATTCTGTTGCTGAAATTTAACCTTACCTTTTCTTTCTACCAGCCTTCTTGCTTATCAGTGGGTGGGCGATAATACCAGTTAACCGGCATATTGCAATTCGACCTTCACAATACAATATATTGAGACCCAACGATATATACTCAGCAGCAAAAATAACCGTCAGTACGAATTCAAAATTAGATGAGCACTGTAATCAAATCATTACAGAAATAGACATAAGTGGACCAAAAACATTTTTGTGTACAATATCTTGACACATCAATGAATAACTCAGCACAATTCAAAGACTTTAGGTGAACGTTTGCAGTCCATTCAGACTCTTGACTTCAGTATCTAATGTGACCACCACGAGCGGCAATAACCGCAGAACAACGTCTATGCATGGAGTGCATCAATCGATTGATGAAGGCCATTGGCACCTTGAACCACACTCTGAGAAAGGCCTGGCGCAATAAATCGGCTGTGTTCGGCCTTGGTATATGACATTATTCAGTCTCCTCTGTGCAGTGTGGCCAGCTTCAAGTCTTCCTAGCGCCTGGTTCCTCTGAGCTGTCGTGAGTGGCGGCATCCTGCTGACATTGTAATGTGAATGTTTCAACCAGGTTTGGGGGTGCATTTTATAGGGCTGGCCCTTGTGAACAGCACGTGCAGCATGAGTTGCAATGAAACACATGGAGAACACCGTGCCATCTCCGAGATCAAGTTGCGTTTTTGAGACCATTTCCTGGGTTCCATTCTGAGTTTAGAAAGGAATGTATTTGCTCAGATAAAGTTGGAGATGTTGTCAAAAATATACAATCAAAACATTAAATGAGTTTACAGTTATCCGTTTCTGCGAAGGAAAATTCCAAACTGACGTTTGTTTTGCTGCTAAGTATATTAATACCAACCCAACTTATAAGTAACTGACTTACTTAACTAAAACCTTGATGTAGAACTTGACCTACTACCTGAGGTTGAACTACCACCTGACTCTCTATCTTACATACCCTAGCCCGATGACCCTTCTTTTCACAGAACGGACAGTAAGTACAACAATCAGAAGCCTTGTGATCTGAAAACACACATGTAACACCTGCTATAAGACTGATTACCAGACCGAAGAAAGTTAAAATCAACTTTGTTCACAGAAATTCCTGCAATAGCATTCTCCATCTCATAAAAACTCGCAACCTTAAGAGCAGAATCTAATGTTAAATCATCTTTCAGCAGAAGAATCTCTCTCAAATGTTTCGTTGCACATTTCTTAACAATCTGATCTCTAATCATCTCATCCATGCAAAGCACCAAAATTACAAGTCTTGGCAAGTTCACTCAAATCAGTGACGTAATTGACAAAACTCTCATCTGACCCTCGTGCCCGAGAACCAAATCTGTAACGTTCTGCCACAACATTTTGGGAGGATTAACATATGTACTCAGAACAGCTTTGGCGCTTTTATAAGTACCTTTTGCACCAGGCAATGTAGGAAACATTCTTTGACATGAAGCACCTAGACAATGCAACAAAGTAGCTCTTTGGACCTTATCCTCTTGCGTCTCCAGACCACTAGCAGCCTCATAAACAGAGAAAGATTCCATCCAGATCGTACATTCATTACTCAGATCAGTGGAATTCATATTTAGAGCTGGCGGAGGACGTGAATGTATATTAAAGTTCACAGTTGCAACGGCGGGTAACCATATTGGCTTTACTGATAAACTGTTGACACAATTTGGAAAAAGTCAGAGTTTTTAAATGTCAAGGCAAGTACGACTAAGCAAAATATTGAAAATGTTCTCAATATCCACGTCATGGTGACAAATGTTCACGTTGAAGAAATACTGCAAACATGGTGTAGACTGTAAACAAAACGTGCGAGCTACCTTGACACTGCCAGGTGAGATACATGTGAAGCAAAAAAGGCGTTTTCACGAGTGTAAAAGTTCTCACTCAAAGTTCTGTTTTATCGAAAGAAAGTTCCACCAGTTAGTGAGAGTTTGTATCACTAACATAGTTCATGTCGCGTGTGTATACCTTCCCTTGAAGCAGACATATCCCATCCTCGTCGCCATTGTAGTGTTTTCATGGGTTCTCTTCGTCACATATTCAAGGGACAACACGACATGCGAGTAGTTCCAATCACCCTCTTTAATCAGACACACGTAATACATGTCACGTGATGCACATAGAGCAAGCACGGAGATACTAATAACAACGAGTTGTATAGCTGATAGTGAGTGAGTGAGTTAAGATTTTAAGTCACATCGGCAATATTTCAGCCATATCGTGACTAAAGCAAGTTATAAATATATCAACAATTTAAGTGAAATTATAAAATTCTGCCAACGAAGGACAGTAAAATAACTAGATTATCACATATATATATATATGTAAAACTAGTAATTGAACAACACAATATAAAAATGGGCTATAGAACGCTAACAACTGAAGGTAGATCACTATACTAGGGACCATGGGGACTTACAGTACATTTTCTTCCTGCATGGGCCCTAGCTGGATTTACATCATCCCCTCAGCTGTTAGCAATTGAGATATATCTAGCCATACATTAAAATTACACATATTCTACGATTAAAAACGGAAAGTTGAAATTTACTTTGAATGTTTTGGGACTTACGTACACTCTCAGGAGGACAATAATATTAATTTTACAGTACTTTAACGCCCCTCGAGTGAGTGAGTGAGTTAAGATGTTAAGTCACATCGGCAATATTTCAGCCACATCGTGACTAAAGCAAGTTATAAATATATCAACAATGTAAGTGAAATTATAAAATTCTGCCGACGAAGGACAGTAAAATAACTAGATTATCACAGATATAGATAAAAAACTAGTAACTAAATCTAAAACATTTGAACTATACAAGACGATACAATATAAAAAACAGGCTATTGATCGCCAACAACTGAAGGTAGATCACCATACTAGGGACTATGGGGACTTACAGTACATTTGCTTCCTGCATGGACCCTATCTGGATTTACACCATCCCTTCAGCCGTTAACGATTTAGCAAATCTAGCCATACATTAAAGGAACAGGTATTCTACGATTAAAAAGTGGAACGTTTTAATTTACTTCGAATGTTTTGGGACTTACATACCCTCTCAGGAGGACAATAATTTTACAGTACTTTAACTCCCCTCGAGGATACAGCCACTAACAATCTTAGTTACTAATTCAAACTTCCAATCTTAAAATATTTATGTATTTACAAATCATTTAACAAATCTAATTCTTTTAAAAATGCAATAATTAAATGAGAACTGATACTATTAAAAAGATCCTTCATAGTTCGTGATTTAAAATATTTATCCCTTGTGATGGAATACTCAACACAGTCAAGCAAGATATGCTTGACCGTGATTCTTTCATCACAAGGGATACAAAATGGAGGATCCTCACCTTTCAATAGGTATTCGTGAGTATATCTTGTGTGGCCAATACGACATCGTCGTATGATGACCTCTTCAAATCTGGACTGACAACCCAAGTAAGTGTAACCGATATAGGGTTTTATTTCATGTAATTTATTGATACCTACTTGGGTGTCCCACTTCTTCTGCATCAGATCACGGATGTAAGTTCTAATGCAAGCTTTGTAATCAGAGTAAGGAAGAAGAAGTGGTGTCACAGATTTGTTGAGGGCTGCCTTGGCAGCAAAATCGGCCATTGTATTCCCAGAAATGCCAACGTGGCTCGGTAACCAACAAAAGACGATGTCGCATTGGCCAGTAGCAAGTTCATTATATTATTCGATTATTTCAGTTAAAAGTGGATGTTTGCAAGAGAGATTTTTAATAGCCTGAAGGCAATAAAGAGAGTCAGAAAAGATTATATATTGTTTATGTTTAGGGTGTCTTTTAATATATTTAAGAGCTGTTAATATGGCGTTTGCTTCTGCTGTAAATATAGAGCTGTTATCCGGTAGTCTAGAAGATATTGTTCTGGATCCAATGACAGTTGCACAAGCCACCGCGCCACCATCCTTGGAATTATCTGTAAATAAGGATCTCTATGCACTATATTTACTTTTTAGTAGATTATATTCTTGTTTATCTTATAATTGATTAGTTTCTGATTTTTTAAACGTTGTCAGTGTGAGGCCTCACTAATTGCTAAGGAGGAGAAGAAAGAAGACGGGAAGGGGATATATTTTCTAGCCCAATGCCAGCAGCGGAAAGCGAGGGTTTGACTCTTAGTCCTAGAGGTGGAACAAGAGAAGACTTTTTATTGTACAGATCCTCATAAAGAGGATTGAAAACACAGTCAAATGCAGGAATAGACTCGTTAGAATAGAGTTTTGTTATATACTGTAAAGATAGTTTTATACGACGTTGGTTAAGTGATGGCTCATCTGCCTCAACATAGAGACTGTCAACAGGAGAAGTTCTAAAAGACCCAAGACAAAGTCTTAGGCCTTGGTGGTGAATAGAATCTAATAGTTTGAGGTTGCTGTTGCAGGCTCCACCATATACGATGGAACCATAATCAAGTTTGGAGCGGACTAGTGATCTATATAGGTGTAGGAGGGTAGTATGATCCCCACCCCACTTTGAATTAGAAACTACTTTCAATAAATCGAGTGCCTTCACGCATTTATTTTTAAGGGATTTAATATGCGGCAGAAAAGTTAAATGGGAGTCGAAAATTAGACCCAAGAACTTGGCCTCCTTGACAACTTTGATGGGAGTGCCATTTAAATTTAGTTCTGGGTCCTTATGTGGCTGATATTTTCTACAGAAGTGTATAGAATTAGTTTTTGACTTAAATTTAAAGCCGTTTTCAAAAGGGTTACAGACAAAATGCTGCCCTATGGAACACCCTGATCCTGATTATAATGATCAGACAGGGTAGAACTCACGCGGACTTGAAATTGCCTGTCAGTTCAAAACTTGGATATGAATTGAGGCAAACGGCCTCGCAATCCAAACTCGTGTAAATCTTTTAAAATCCCATGTTTCCAAGTACTGTCATCTGCGTTTTCTAAATCGAATAAAAATCGACACTGCATGTTGTTTTTGAATAATTGCATTTTTAACAAAGGATTCTAAACGCACTAAATGATCGATAGTACTTCTGTTTTTACGGAAACCACATTGAATATACGTTATAAGGTTATTGGTTTCCAAGTACCAAACAAGTCGATTATTTATCATGCGTTCCGTGGTCTTGCAAACACAGCTAGTTAGTGAGATCGGTCGATAATTCGAAGGATCAGTATGGTCACGTCCTGGTTTAGGAATGGGAACAATAATAGCATCGCGCCATGACGAAGGAAAATTTCCAGATGTCCAAATATCATCAAAAATGTTTAAGAGGGTCTCTAACCATGATCCCGGTAGGTGCTTCAGAAGCTGGTAATGTATGTTATCAGCCCCTGCAGCAGTATCATCAGCCTGGTCAAGAGCAGTATGAAGCTCATGAATAGAAAATAGTTCATTGTAATCTTCCCCCTTATCTGAATTGAAATTAATAGTTTTCTTTTCCTGTTGTTTTTTATAATTTTGGAATTGAGGTAGATAATTTGATGAGGAAGAGTGTTTGGCCAATTTTTCTCCAAGTTTATTTGCAAAATCAGATTTACTATTTAATAATTCGTCTCCATCTTTAAGATGCTTAATTTAGAACCCTAACCTTTTATTTTCTTGATCATATTCCATACTTTTGATATCGGAGTTCGTGAATATATTTTTGATACATAATGTCGCCAGGATTGACGTTTACTTTGCTTGAAGGTACGCCGTGCCTTAGCATTTTAAATTTTAAATTTATTCAAATTATGGACCATAGGATGGCGACGGAAATAATTCTCAGCTTTCTTCCTTGCCTTCCTAGCCTGTTTGCACTCATTGTTGAACCATTGGTTTCGTATGTGTGGAATTGCAGAGGATTTGGGGATACACTCATCAGCAATGTTAATTAGTTCATTAGAGAAATATTTTATAGGATCAGGACTTTCTATAAAAAGTTCAGGTTTAAGTCTGTTACAACACAGATCTTGATGCAAAGGCGAGTTAGCCTTTTTAAAATTCCATCTTGAAGATGGGGTAATATCAGATGGGTTCACGGATGTTAGAATTGTAGGAAAATGGTCACTTCCACAGAGGTCATCGTGAACTGACCGTTCAAATTCATTCAGTAGGTTTGAATCCATGATTGATAAATCAAGCGCCGAATAAGTTCCAGTGCCAGGATGTAAATAGGTGTTGGAACCGTCATTGCATATGCATAAATCATTATCTGAACAGAACTCTTCTAACAGTTTACGGCACCTGTGAAGAGCCACCTCCTCGTGGTGCGTGTTGGGTAACGCTAAGCGCTCTTCGACACCCCGTTGTGGACCCGGGGGTATATTTGGTCCACCCCTGTGTCGGTGGAGGAAGGGAGTGTGGTGGTTGAGAGCACTGGTTCCAGGAACAGTGTTCCTTTGCCCAACACACCACTTCGCCCCTTACTTCACCTAGACGGGT